ATGAACTCACAGAAAGAAAAACTGAAAAAACAATCCCATATACCATCGTGGCAAAAAAATTAAAATACCTAGGAATAAACTTAACTAATGAAATAAAGGACCTATTTGCAGAAAACTATAGCACATTAAAAAAAGAAATAGAGGAAGATATAAAAAAGTAGAAGCACATACCTTGTTCATGGATTGGAAGAATTAACATCATTAAACTGTCCATATTACCCAAAGCAATCTATAGATTCAATGCAGTCCCTTTCAAAACACCAATGACATATTTCACAGAACTAGAACAAATACTTCAAAAGTTCATATGGAACCAAAAAAGACTCTGAATAGCCACAGCAATCTTGCAATAGAAGGACGAAGTAGGTGGGATCACAACACCAGATATCAGGTTATATTACTACTGTAATCAAAACAGCATGGTACTGGCACAGAAACAGGCATATAGACCAGTGGAACAGAACAGAGAACCCAGAAATGGACCCAAGACATTATGCTCAATTAATATTTGACAAAGGAGGCAAGAGCATACGATGAAGTAAAGACGGCCTCTTTAATAAATGGTGTTGGGAAAATTGGACAGCTACATGCAAAAAAAATGAAACTAGACCATCAACTTACACCATATACAAAAATAAACTCAAAATGGATAAAAGACTTAAATGTGACCTGTGAATTCATAAAAATTCTAGAAGAAAATGCAGGCAACCACATGTTAGACATCATATGCAGCAGAATTTTCATTGATACATCACCTAAGGCAACAGAAACAAAGGAGAAAATGAACACATGAAACTACATCAAACTAAAAAGCTTCTACTAAACAGCATAAGAAACAACCATCAAAATGGAAAGGCAACCCACTGTATGGGAGAGTATCATTGCCAATGATACATCAGATAAGGGGTTAATTTCCAAAACACATAGAGTACTCATACAACTCAACAAAAGGAAGACAAAGAACCCAATAAAAAATGGGCAGAGGAGCTGAATAAACACCTCTCTAAACAGGACATACAAATGTCCAAAAGGCATATGAAGAAATGCTCAACATCATTAATCATCAGAAAGATGAAAATTAAAACAACAATGAGGTATCACCTCACACCTGTCAGAATGGCCACCATCAACAAGTCATCAAACAACAATAGTTGGCGAGGGTGTGAAGAAAAGGGGACTCTAGTACACTGCTGGTGGGAATGCAGACTGGTGCAGCCACTAAGGAAAACACTACGGTGTTACCTCAAAAAATTAAAAATTGAACTGCCATTTGACATAGTGATCCCACTTCTAGGAATATACCCTAAGAAGCCTCAAACACCCATCAGAAAGAATATATATACCCCTATGTTCATAGCAGCACTATTTACAATAGCTAAGATCTGGAAACAGCCCAAGTGTCCATCAGTAGACGAATGGATAAAAAAGCTGTGGTACATCTACACAATGGAGTACTATGCAGCTGTAAGAAAGAAAGATCTCTTATTCTTTGAGACAAAATGGAAGGACCTGGAAAGTATTCTCCTATGCGAAACAAGCCAAGCAGAAAAAGACATATACCACATGATCTCACTTATTTGTGGAATATAATGAACATAACAGTGTGAGGAATAGGGTGGACCCAGAGACATGGAAGTAGGGTACAGACTGACAACTTCAGAAGAGGGGGCGGCGGGGGGAGGGAAGAGATAAACCACATAACTTATATGCATGTACGCATAACCAATGGACATGGACAACAAAGCTGGGGATGGGGTTGGGAGTATGGGGAGGAGGGTGTTAATGGGGTAAAAAAGGAGAAACATCTGTAACAAAAATGAAATTAAAAAACAAACAAACAAATGAAAAAAACAAAAGCTAAACTCTCTTTTTTTTCTTCAGTCCTCACCCAAGGACATTTTTTGATATTTTGTTCAGATAGAGTGGGAGGGGGAGAGAGAGAGTGAGAGAGAGAGAGAGAAACATTGACGTGAAAGGGACACGTGTGAGTGGTCACCACCCACACGACCCAATCAGGGCCGGCGACAAAATGGAACCGAGGTGTGTGCCCTTAGCGGGAACTGAACCCGGGTCTCTCCAGACCACAGGCCAATGTTCTAACCGCTGAGCTAAACCGGCCAGGGCAAAAGCTAAACTCTCTTGCCTTCAGGGATAACAGACTTTACAGAGTACTTCTTGCTCCAGAACTCTCCTGGAATATTGATGAGCCTGGAATTTCTGAAATCCTGCCTTTGGTTGGCTTCTTTGTCTTCCTTATCCTGCTCCCTGACTCCCACACTGGCTTCTCCTGGGAGCACTTCCTTAATCAATCACTGTCTCAGGAACCCTCATTTCAGGACCTGATTCTGAGGATCCTGATCTAAGACAACCTCAGGTATTGGTACATAATATAAACCAATGCATATTAAATACTCAAACATTTAAAAAGTGGAACCACGCCCTGGCCGGTTTGGCTCAGCGGTTAGAGCGTCCGCCTGCGGTCCGGAGAGACCCGGGTTCGGTTCCCGCTAAGGGCATGTACCTCGGTTGCAGTTTGTCCCCGGCCCTGGTTGGTTGTGCGGGTGGCAGCCACTCGATGTGTTCCTTTCACATCGATGTTTCTCTCTCTCTGTTCCTCTCTCTCCCTCCCACTCTACCTGAACAAAAAATGGAAAAATGTCCTCGGGTGAGGATAAAAAAAAAAAAAAAAAAGTACCAAAAAGTGGAACCACAAAGAATGAGTAAACAATGAGAAACTATTCAAAATGAACAGGTATATTCGAAAAAGAATCAAATAGAACTTTTAAAATGAAATTTTAATTATTGAAATAAACTTAGTAGATGCCTAAAACAGCAGATTAGACACAGCTAAAACTAGAATTAGTGAACTAGAAGAAAGATCTAAAAAGTATAACCAGAATACATTCTAAAGTGATAAGGAGAAAAAAATATAAAAGAGAAGTTAAAACAGTGTACAGATGATGTGTTGTGGAACTGTACACCTGAAACCTGTATAATTTTGTTAATCAGGGTCACCCCAATAAATTCAACAAAAAGGAAAAAAGAGAGTCAAGATAAGACAAAGACAAAAAGAGAGAGAGGTTAAAAGATATTAATTAGTTGGTTCAATATATATGTAATCATAATCCCAGGAGTAAAAATAGGCCCAGCCATCTCACTCTTCGGTATGTACCCCATAGACACTCTTGTGCTTATGCACTGGGGGAACATATGCCCCAAACTAGAAATAGCTCTAATGTTCATCAAAAGGCTAAAAGAAAAATAAATTATAGCAAAGTCACACAGTATAATATTATATAGCAATGAAAACAGATATACTATAGCTACAAGCAATAACATAAATAAATCTCAAAAACATTTTTATAAAGCACAAAAATGAGCAAAATTAAACCATATATTGTTTGGGGATACATATTTATGATAAAACTATTTTTTAGGCAAGGTAATAGTAAATATAAAATAAAGGATATTAGTTGCTTCTGGTGGGAAGGCAGGGTGATCAAACCCACAAGGCACACACAGGGTATTAATAATGTTCTAGATCTCAGGTTGGAGAGTAGGGTTATTAATGTTCATTTCATTATATTCTTCATAAGCTTGCATAACTGATCTCTTTGGTGGCATATATCAGATATTATATTAAAAGTAGTATTTGCAGGATCTCTATAAAATATAATAGATGGATGCTGAAGAGCTCAGACCCACCCTTACCATGTACACAGATGAGGGCTAGAATCTTATGTCTTACTGGGTCTGTGAGCAGGTTACTGACTGTTCATAGACATAACTTTTCTCATAATATAATGGCAATAATATCTGCTTCATAAGGTTTACTATGAGAATATGTAAGATTACTAGACTATAAACTCCATGGTGGAAAGGACTGTATCTGTCTTGTTCTTTGTGTATCCTTAGTGAGTAGCATATGCCAAGAATGTAGTAGGTATTTATGTCAATTCTTCCTTCCATAGCAGTACAGAATAAAGCATTGGCAGTGAAGGGGGGGGTAGCTATATGGTGGTCGTTTCATTTTTTGGTTTTTATTTGTTTTTTAGACTGACATTCTATCTTGATATTGGCTACATATCACTATATGTAACAAGCAATTTGACTTCTCTGGATTTCAGGTTCTTAATCTGTTACACAACAGAATTAGACTCAAGTATATAATTATTTTAATGCCTATAGCCTTACATCATACCCTGTATATTAGTGTTTTAAGAAAGTAAATGAAAAAGACTATTTCTGTCACACAAAAATGCAAATTCAAGTTACACATTCATGGACAGCTCCAAAGAAGGATAATAATCACCTGAACAAAACAACATCTGAGATGGTCAAATTGTGTTCAGCAACCATCATCTCAGGTGGGTGGGAATCTGGGTGCCTTGCCTTCTGGCACATTGCATGAGCTTGGATCTTTTGTTTCTGACCTCATCCATTTTCCTTTGACTCCTATTCTTCTTCTGCCCCCTGTGGTTATGCCTAAAATCACCCCTCAGCATCTGGTAAGCTCATCTATTCACACACTTTTAAGTACTACAATTACCACTGTTAATCTGGGTCCTGCTGTCATTAGATCACTAGGTCAACACAAACCTCAGGACCTCTGTTCTTAAGATATAATGCCCACGCAGCTGTGGCTCTCACATGGTGAAAACCAGCTCGCCAGCCCAGAGACAAGCCAGGATACCCAGCCTGCAGCCCTGTGGAACACAGCAAGAGTTTACAAACTCATTCAGGCTGGAAGCCTGAGATCAATGTTCAGCTCCCCTACTCACATCACACATCTTTACAACCCTAGGGGTCGTTTTCTCACAATTTGAGCCTCTTCTTAGTTGAGGGCTCTACTACTCTGGGTCTTTACCAGCTCAATGGCACTGTAACAGCTATGAAGTGAAAGAGTAAGGTCACAGATGTTGAATGCCTTGAGAGTATGATAAATAAGACCCACTGAGAGCAACAGTCATTGTTCCTCCCAGAGGTGCCAGCTGACTTACCTGATGATTTCCAGAGCGTCTGTTATCTGCTGTTGCTCAATATCGTACAGTTTCACCCTGAAGCCTCCACTGGCAAACAACATAGCCCAGCTTCGCCCAATGAGGCCACTAAAGGCAGAGGAAATCAAGAGAGGTTCCCAGTTAACTTAGTAATTGAACAGTTTTTTATTCCTACCCAGAATACATCTTTTAAATTATAAAACATCCTATTCTTAAAAGATTTAATATCTTAAAATTACACACTTTGATATGTGTACTGATTATAAATGTTACCTGTTCCCACACAGGAGCTCCGGAATCCTCACCTCGAGCCCAACATCAATTTTGTCCAGGGAGCACCACCAGGCAGGTCGTTAACATGCGCACACACTCTGAAACAGTCAGACTAGGAAGGCAGCAAGGTGTTGTGGACATGCTTGCAATATTTGATCTAAAAAGTTTACTTCTAGAATTTATTTTAGGTTCATATGGGCAAACACAAAGATATTTATTCATAGTAGAATTTATATTTCCAAAAAATTCAAAACTAAGCCCTGGCCAGTTTGGCTCAGCAGTTAGAGCACCAGTCCTCGGACCAAAGAGTCACGGGTTCCATTCCCAGTCAAGAGTACATGTCTGGGTTGCAGGTTCAATCCCTGGCCCAGGTCGGGGTCATGCAGGAGGCAACTGATTGATGTCCACAATGATCTCTCTCTCTCTCTCTCTGTCTTCCTCCCTCTCTTCCACTCTATCTAAAAATCAATGGAAAAATATTCTCAGGTATAACAAAAAAATAAAATTAAAAACTAACCATCTAATATTCAGAGTTAGTTAGTAAACTGTTCACAGATAAAACAAATATAACAAATGTTTAACAATTGTTGAATACAGGTGGGTATGTGGGTATTATTTTTCTATATTTTCAACTTTTGTGTGTGTTTGAGAATTTTCATAATAAAAAGTTGGGGAGAAAATAGTTATAGTCATATACAGGCATTAAAGACAAAGTTGATTTATTTTTCCTGCAGTGGGCTTCATGGCCTGTATTGCCCACATTCCCCTATAGGACCTACCAAGAGCAGAACCAACTCCTGGAAACCCACTAGCAACCCTTACTCCCAAGCTCCCCCCTGAAAGGGTTAGTAAGGTTTCAAAGGGTAAAGGTAAAAGTTTGCAAAAGGTAGAAACTGTGAAAAATGCATTGCTTGCATGACCTTTGCTCAGCCTTCTGTTGAGTACAGATTATCGGATTATCCTCAAAACAATGAATCAATCACCCAGCAGATGCAGGATGTGATACCAGACCAGTCCAACTGCATAGTGGACAATGGGCCAGGCAGAGTACGTCAGCAGGAACTGCCAGAAGCTAGAAGTAGAGTATATAACCTACACCTCAACTGTTATTCAAGACTGTCCCCTCTTTGGGTTCAGCCCACCTGCACCCAGGCACAAGCAATAAAATCATTTTGCTCTACACTGGCCTTGTGTTGTGGATGTGCTCTCCCACCAGCTCAGACCTTTTGCCCCTATCCACATCCTCAGTTGTTGATGATTGATGTGAAATAAACACATGACCTGAAGCAGCCAATAAACTGGCTTATCAGCACCCAGTGATATGTATAGCCTGGCCTGCATAGAGGAACTGAGCCAATCAGATTTCCTCTCCTGAAAATCGGGCCCAAAACATGGAAACTGTAAATCGGTAACAGGAACTAGAGTCGAAAGATTATTACGTTGGGGTTGGTTGGGGATGGAAGAATGTGCAAAAAAAAGAAGTGAAGGAGGGGGAGAGAAGTGAGCATGGACAGGAAAAGGAATGTAAAGAGCTGACTAAGGTACAGAGAGGTACAGAGATTGCACAGACTACATAGGCCCAGAAGGAAAGTTCATGGTCTTGGTTTCTGCTGGGCTTTCTTGTCCTCATTACTAATTTACGTCAGGCCCAAATGCCATTGGTTTCCTGTCCTTAGAGCCTGTAACATCTTATTAACTTTTTCTAAACTCCTAGATACCTGGGGATCATATAATGGGTCCATACCATTCTAACTATTCTAACATGTTTTAAAGATCCTAAATTCAAAAAAATGTATTGCTACACAGTAGCAAAGCAGCAAGAGAGAAAAGTTGGTTCAGTTATAATTTTATCAATGGCATTTAGCTTTGAATAAATCCACCCCAGATACTTTTTAAAATCTTTCCATTCTACAGTTACTTATTTACTTGGCAAAAGTTGAAGTAAAACTGTTCCTACACTCTTGATCTAAGTAGGCTATGGAAAATTTGCCAATAAAAGCTATTAAATATTTCCTAGGATGAACAAATTTAGTGTGTGAGATGACTCAAGTAACAGGAACACCCTACGGTCTAACTCTGTGTGTCTCCATATATACATCTGTACTTGTGCATTTAAATGCAAAAATTAGCAACAATAGCACTTTGAAAATATCATGCCTCAGTAAGTTTCCTACAGAGAATGAATACAGGACTTCCGGTCAAGATGGTGGTGTAGGTAAACGCGGTATCGCGTCCTCCCACAACCACATCAAAGTTACAACAAAACTACAGAACAACCATCATTCAAAACGACCTGAAATCAAGCTGAATGGAAGTCCTACAACTAGGGAATTAAAGCAGCAGCCACATCAAAACTGGTAGGAGGGGCGAAGGCAGATAGGCTAGTCCCACACCCACGTGTGGTGGATAAAAATTAGGAGGATACCTCGGCTGGGAAGGTCCTCCTGAGGAGGGAGGGATCCCCGTCCCACACTAGACGCCCCGCTCAGGGTTCCAGTGCCAGGAAGAGAAGTCCCCATAACTTCTGGCTGGAAAAACCAGTGGGAACTGAGGCTCAGGGAGGCTAAGGCGGCTAGAGCCCCAGGCAGCTCCTTAAAGGGCCCACAAATGGACTTATAAGACTCACTCCCTCTAAGCTTGGAGGGGAGGCAGCTTGAGAGGTTCCAGAGACATACAGGGAAGAACAGAGCTGTTTGGCACTGGAGTGAGTGCTGGAGAGGGGGCTTTCTCCGGGAAAGATGTGCTGTCAAAGGCCTTTGTTCCCTTGGTGAGCCTTTCCCTGGGGCAGCAAACAGTCACCATATCTGGGTCTCCAGCAACCTGGCTCACACTGGTAGCCCCGCCCTGGTGATTCCCTGAGGCCCCGCCTCATCCAACTTTCAGGCCCACCCAAGCTGTTGCCAGTTGCTTAACCATAGGATTGGCCTGTCTTGGATCCTGCTTCAGGTTTTCCTAAATTCTTTCAAACGAGCAGCATCTGGTCTCAGCTAGCCCCATACCGCTCATTAAGTAATACACAGAAACAAACACAGAGAGGCAGCCAAAATGAGGAGACAAAGAAACAGATCCCAAATGAAAGAACAGAACAAAACCCCAATAAAAGAACTAAGCAAAATGGAGAAAAGCAACCTAACAGATGCTGAGTTCAAAATACTACTTATAAGGATGCTCAATGAACTTAGTGAGGGCCTCAAGAGCATAAAAAAGGGCCAATCAGAAATGATGAATGCACAGTCAGAAATGAAGGAGGCATTAAATGAAATAAAGAATAATTTACACAGATTCAATAGTAGAGTACGTAAATCCACGAAGCAAACAATCGATTTTGAATATAAGGAAGCAAAAAATGCCCAATCAGAACAGAAAAAAAAATCCAAAAAAATGAGGATAGTGTAAGGAGCCTCTGGGACAACTTCAAGCGTGCCAACATTCGCATCTTAGGGGTGCCAGAAGGAGAAGAGAGAGAATAAGAAATTGAAAACCTGTTTGAAACAATAATGGCAGAAAACTTTCCTAACTTGGTGAAGGAAACAGACATACAAGTCCAGAAAGCACAGAGAGTCCCAAACAAGATGAACTCCAAGAGGCCCACACCAAGACACATCATCATCAAAATGCAAAAGGTTCAAGACAAAGAGAATCTTAAAAGGAGGAAGAAAAAAGCAGTTAGTTACCTACAAGGGAGTTCCCATTAGGCTGTCAGCTGATTTCTCAAAAGAAACTTTCAGGCCAGAAGGGAGTGGCAAGAAATATTCAGAGTGATGAAAAGCAAAAACCTACAACCAAGATTACTCTATCTTGCAAAGCTGTCATTTAGAAATAATGAGTTTCCATATAAAGAGTTTCCCAGACAAGAAAATGTTAAAGGAGTTCATCACCACCAAACCATTATTATATGAAATGATGAAGGGTCTTTTTGAAGAAAAAGATAAAATATATGAACAAACAAAATGGCAATGCATACATATCTATCGACAATGGAATCTACAGACAAAATGAACAGGCAGAACAGAAACATTCTCATAGATACAGAGCACATTTTGTTGGTTGCCAGATGGGAGGGGGTTTGGGGGAATGGATGAAAAAGTGAAGGGATTAAGAAGTACAAATTGGTTGATAGACTGACAAACCTCAGAAGGAAAGGGGTTGGAGGGTGGGAAGCAATAAACCAAAAAACTTATATGCATAACCAATGGACACAGACAATAGTGTGGGGAAAGGCTGGAGGGGGTGGGAGTGGGGAGATGGGGGTCAAAGGGGGGAATGAGGAACATCTGTAATACATTCAACACTAAAGATTTTAAAAAATTTAAATTTAAATTAAAAAAAAAATGAATACAGTCACCGCAAAGTAAAATTTTGGAATAGAAAAAAAAAACAACAAAAAAACGATACTAGTTCAAAGATGTACTGCTTGATATAAAACATCTTAATAGACCCTTCACACTGCACATCAGTTTTTTTAAAATAAAATCTCTGGAGCAGGCTGGAAGCCCATGAACAGCAGCTGTTTTACCTGTGAGCGGCTACCTCCGGGTTAAAATCACAAGCTGGCTCCACAGTGCAGAGGGACAGAGTACTAAATTAGCATCAGGAACTCACTTTAGGCTCTGGCAGAGGGAGAGAGGATTAGACTGGAACTGTGTGGAGACTCAGGAGCTTGGAGAGCTGGGAGGGCAATGGGAGTTTTATGCTGAATTACTCTCTCACAGGACAGTAGGCATATTACTCAAAGAGCCCCTTCCCAGAATCCTGAGGAGAAGCAAAATCCCATCCCTCAGAAATTATTTTCTTTTATCCTGACCCGAGGACAGTTTTCCTTTTTTTTTTTTTTT